AATGGGAACGAGACTATGCCTAGCATAAAATTCTGGAACAAACCTAAGTAAATATGAAAAGTGCACAAGAAATCATCTCGTGGAAATTTAAATGTTCTAGTTTACTTCATACATACCCACATCCTTAGGTGCCAATAAAAAACCAAACCAAGCTATCGTTAATTTATGTACCTCTCTACTATGTATAACTTGATTCGATTTCGATTCGCACCTTATGATGGGACATTCAAAAATAAAAAAAAAAATGTTAATTTCATCTAAGGTTGAGAAACAATTGTTTAATTAGTTATGCAAAGATTTAATGTACACTTTTAAAACCAGGAACTGAACAAGTTTAAATAAAAGAATACATATTTTTCATTGGCTGAATGATATGGGAACGAGACTATCCCTAGCATTAAATTCTGGAACAAATCTAAGTAAATATGAAAAGTGCACAAGAAATCATCTCGTGGAAATTTAAATGTTCTAGTTTACTTAATACATATCCACATCCTGAGGTGCCAATAAAAAACCAAACCAAGCTATCCTTAATTTATGTACCTCTCTACTATGTCTAACTTGATTCGATTTTGATTCGCACCTTATGATGGGACATTCAAATATAAAAAAAAAAAATGTTAATTTCATCTAAGGTTGAGAAACAATTGTTTAATTAGTTACTAAAGATTTAATGTACACTTTTAATACCAGGAACTGAACAAGTTTAAATACCAAACCAAGCTACACTTAATTTATGTACCTCTCTACTATGTCTAACTTGATTCGATTTCGATTCGCACTTTATGATGGGACATTCAAATATAAAAAATAAAAAATGTTAATTTCATCTAGTGTTGAGAAACAATTGTTTAGTTAGTTAGTTAAAATTTAATGTACACTTTTAATACTAGGAACTGAACAAATTTAAATAAATGAACTTTATTTTAAAATCAATCTGTGTTTACTGTAGATAATGATAATTTGTCTGAGTGATTTGATCTGATTGTCAGTAACCCATACCTTGAGATAAAATAATTATAAATTTCAATTTAATATATTAATACTCTGATCATTTTGTTTATTATTTAGTAACCTCTTATTTCTTTAGAAAGTATCCCAACGGTATAAAGTGATCTTCGGAGGTTATATTATTATTATTTGTTAAGTCTAAGAGAAATGTTACAATAGAGAGAGAGTGGATAGTGGGAAGGAGAGGAGTGAGAGGGAGAAGAGAGAGAGAGAGTTATACTCACGATATGATTACCAGAGGGCCAGCATTGTAGTTCCTTACTAAGATTAGCTAAAATTCAAAAGCAATAAATATTCTTGTTTTTTCAAAGAAAAAATTAGATACTATTTCACAAGTGCCTCACTACCATACTGATTGGATTAAGATTACATCGATCACACCGTAGATTACACGGTACCAAAAGTAAACAGAGCGACTGATCTCTTTGGTTCCAACTGAAAAGGATCCATTAAAAGTTTGATTAACGCATTTGAGTATAAGTTGAAAATCGCAATCTCATTTAAGCATTACATCCATACAGAATTCCATCTCACAATGTGATTAATGTGACCTGATTCCAGCCACCAAGTAGGAGTAACACTTGTAAATTATGTATCTATTGAGTATTAAACTTTATAAGTATTGTTTTTAACCTCCCTCTACAGCATTTAGTTTAGATTATGGAGATTTCACAATAAGATGAAATGGATTTCAAAAGAAATTATCATAAACAACTCATTGTATATTCCTCGTTAAATTCCCAACTTTAATTTTTGAGTAATTTTTCTTAAAATGAAACTATGAATCATTATGAAACAGATTTTCAGTACAATGTGTTTCTACATGCTAGTAATCTTAAAATGATCATCTACAAACTAAAACATAGTATTTACATAATAGAGTATTCTGTACACTTATGAAATATCGCTTGTAAATATTCAAAGTGATTCAGTTTGTTATTAATTTCAGCATTTTTCTGCTACTTTAAATAGATTTTGATATTTTTTTATCAATGCATATTCATTCTTTTAAATGGAAGGTTCATTCTTTTTTTTTTATAGATAAAGCTATATTGTGTGAATCTTATGAGGATAATTGACCGTAATTCTAATTTGCGGAGAAGTTGGTCAGATGTGCAGTTTATAGACATATACTATAATATAAAGTATATGTCTATTGACTGCACATCCGACCAACTTCTCCTCAAATTAGAATTACGGTCAATTATCCTCATAAGATTCACACAATATAGCTTTATCTCTAAAAAAAAAAAGAACCTTTTTACCTTCCATTTAAAAGAATGAATATGTATTGATAAAAAAAATATCAAATTTTCCCGACCAACTTCTTAAATATATTTTGTGAAATTTCACGATTTTCCAAAAAATAACCAGCTTCTACAAATACATTACAAAATAGAATAATAAAAATAATTTTTATTACCAAAATAGAATTAAACAATAAATCAAGAAATTAAATATTTTCAAACATATCCAGAATCCAATGGCTCTAATATATATATTTTTTCTACTATTAATTTCTGTGATGAGTAAAGATAAAAAACCTAAATCGTAAAATTAGAACTAAATAATCTTGAATAACCACTTAAAGATTTTTATTTATACCAATGCATACATATAAGATGAGTATATAAGATAATTATATACATATTCATGATTCTGGACTTTCTTCTAACAATGGGAAAAAGGTAGTTTCATTAGAAGAAAGTTAAACAGTAATTAATCAAATAATCTCAAAAAAACAGTTCTTTCTTACCACAAAAATTGTATTCCTATGTATATTTAGCAAACTTAAACAATTAACAATATTAAATTCAATCTAGAATTCTAATTAGGAGCAATGCAGTGGATTAGAATATTCTTTAGATGCTAAAAAAAAAATGGATGCCTGTAACTGTAATTTGGCTCCAAATCTCAAGATTACTGCTACCACAATAGAATTGTTTTTAGTTTAAGAGGGTGGAAAATAATCTTAAGTTAAATAAAATGCCTCAATTCAAACATGAAAATAGTACAAATTATTAAGAATAAGTTAAAATTTTGATTATTTTTATATTAAAAAAAAGGCTATACCTTATTCCTTGAAGAAAAAAGATTTTAAGTACCAACCTCACAATACAGAATTTTTAACAAAGATTACATTTTTCAACATGTTAATTTAAAAAATAAATGTATTTAAATTATTGAATTCATAAGAAAATTTGAGTAATTAATTGTAATTATTTTCAAAGTTATCATGATCATTACATTTCCCAGTCTTTATTTTTTCTATATATAAAAAAAAAATAATTACAAGTAATTCAATTTCTTTTCAATTATATAACATAAACCAAATATTTATATATATATACTTTTACTATAGTTTCCAATGTATAATTAAACCAATTTATAAAATTACACTAGCCATAACATAATCATGGAAGCTAAGTGATTAATGAAATTTGGCTGGATTTTAGGGGTATACTCTTATGAAAGTAATGTGTAAAGGTAAATAGATTTTTTATTATGTATAAATATATTCTTTGTACTGTCACTTATTTATTTACAATGTGTCATTTAATAATTAAAATATTGATTAAACTATCAAACTATGTATTAAATTATTAAACTACTATATTAATATAGTAATAAAATTATTTAAAAAATTCCAAGTCGATGTTTAATTTTTTTATTTTGGACATAATGAAGATTTTAAAACAATTTTTAATGTTATGTATTTTTTTTAGATCATATGGCTCCGAGGAATCTGAATAATAATATTAATTAATTAATTAATGTTTAATATTGATTTGATTTGAATGATTGATGATTTGACGATATGATGTGAAAGGCGTGCAATATGCCTCAGCGGATATTAAATTAGTGGAGTAAGAAAACAAACCGACTGTCTGTGAGAGCCATTGATTGAATTAGCCACTTCCTCCAAAACAAACAAATCTTCGACCGTGGCGACATTATGTTCCCTCACCTCGCGTAATAACCACTTTGTAATAACAATATCTTGTTTCATTAGATAAAACTAAAGCTCCCTAAAATGGAAAAACACCATGTCTTATGAAAAAAATGGTCACTCAATGTATTATTGTTCGTAATGGTTGGCCGTGATTAAAGTTCTATATTTCTTGGGGAAATATTTGAAGATAGTAGCTGAAAGCAGTTACTTGCGTGATTTAATACCTTGGAAACTATTTTTATAATAACCGTGAATAAATGTAAAAATGCAGTATCGGCCTTATATTAAAAAAAATTTAATTTACTTCTTAAGCGGTTTTATACTATGTAATATTTGAATTTTATTACATTGAATATTTCTCTAATACAGTTACTTTGTTGATAGACTAAAATTAATTGTTACAAGGCGTTTTGAATTTTTTTTTTAATTTCATACAATTGGCAAGCGCCCCTGAAGACCTGCCAGCGCTCTCGTAAGAATATGTAAAACTGTTGGTATAAAGTGACACTTCCAGTTAGCCGATTTTGAAGAAAAGGTTGCTGTAATATCTCAGGTATATTCAAATCTTAAATACGCAATTTCTGTTGGATACGACTTTTCGTTTTTAAGCCCTCCCCTCGTAGATCTGCCCGTGACACCAAGTACCAAGTGTTTTACTGAAATTGAATCAGTATTGGGAATTCAATCACTATTTGATTCAATCGTTTGACATCAACTCAAGTATTAATTAAATTCTTGGATTTAAAAAAAGGTCAGTATTTGAGTAGAAGACTTGGTACTTGGTACTTGGAATAACATTTGCCCCTCTCTGCTCCAAGAGAGGGAGCAGGTCGTAGCTGATACGAACCGATATTCGTGACAAGTCACTGCTCCAGCGGCACCGTTACATCCAGAAGGGCGGGCTTATGCAGGTTATGAAGCTTTAACTGTTAAACTTCTGGTGATTCCTTATATACTTAATTACAATATTATCTCATCATTAGATTACTTTTTATTCTAAAGGAATGACATTAAAATATTTCTAGAGCGTTCCATCATGTTTCAAATATTGAGGTGAAATTTGTTTTTAAATTATATTAATAAAGGTTTATTTGTTTTAATGGTGAGAATTGAACTTCAATTACTCAGAAACTCTCACATACATGATACTCAAAACATTGTGACTGTAATATTTCTTTGTTATTTTTTGCAGATGGCTTTGGAATATTTGTAAATACCCTTTTAGTAACATTTATGTCGCTATCCTGAGTGTTTTATTTGGTGTGACAGTTTACTTTGAAGTACTCTCTTATTTTTCGCAGTCTTACATAAATGACTGGCCATCAATTGAGTGTGGTACTGATAGTAATTCATACAAATTGTTCTTTGTTGCTGATCCACAAATATTAGGTGAAAATACTGAATCGTGGGTCGCAAGGATGGACTGTGATAGGTAATATGTCTATTCAGTTATTCATTTTAAGGTCTGTATTTTATTCACCAAGATGTTTTGTGATTTGTGTATTGTCTGTACTTTCATATTTAAAGGAAAATGAAGAATTATAAATTAATTTTTAGAAAATTACGAAGTTTAGCTGTTTCTTTCATGTGATCTCATATAAAAGTGGTATTCTAGGTTTTTTTTATGTCAATGCCATCATACTTAAAGCTATTCATCTTGAGAATATACTTTGGGAGTGTTACTTAAGTATGCAACCCTCCTCATATTCCATTTCCTCTGAATAAAATAAATTATCTCATAATTTGTAGATTTTGACTATGTTTTGGGAGGTAATAAAATAAAACTAAGTTAATTCAAAATGTATATAAATATTTTTCAATATTATTGGAAAAATAACTTATTCAAAATTTTGAATATTACTCACTCATGTTTACTTCTTTAAATACGGATTTATTGTGTATCAATCTGAAATACAACAATCACAATAATTTAAACATGAAAATTATAAAGTTTTCAAATGAAGCACCAACAAAAATAAGAACTGATGTTGGGTCTTGATCCTTCAAATTGTGAACATACTATAAATATTATTTTCTTGAAGGGAAATTACTAACAAATACATAAGCAATTCAAATCAAAGCATTTGATAATGCTGAACATGAGATTCTCCTCTTCTAATTCTATAACTTGTTCTTATGCAATAGCACTTTACAATGGTTCCTCCTGCCAGTAGTACCATGGACGGTAGTAATCCTTGATAAACCTTCATATCCTCTTCCGAACTTCTTCTTTTCACATTAATGATTTACCTGGTTTATGGGAGCTCAACTTTTGGGATTTTCCTTTTTTGGGGGAACAGCAGAGCAGCTATTTCCTTTTCCCTGAACTAGTAGAACTAGATTAGCCTGCCTTTTACTGTTACGTTAATTTATTTAACTATTTTTAATAACTTTCAATCAAGGTGTATATTAAAATAGAAAGGTAATGGAATAGAATGAAAAATTATAAATAATAATTTTTGAAAAGTAATGTTATTTAATGGAAATCATATATTTTCAAGGAAACTAAATGGAATTTACTAAGTAAATGTAAACATTTTTTTTAAGTTTGAGTAAGTATTTAAAATCCACGGAATCGATGCCATTACATTACTTTAAAAACTTTCATTGTACTTGTGCGAAAGAAGAAGTGAAATATAAAAATATTTCATGGAAATGTTTATAACCTTAAATATATGTACTGTAGTTTAATAACTCTAGATCTGATATATTTAAATAATAGGTATAGTCCGTTTATTCTGAAAAATCATCATGTATAACCTTTTAGAAAATTAAATTAGTGAATAATTGTGGGATTTATTTCATTAAGACTCCATTTCATTTTAATTTTATAATTTCTAAAAATTGCAAAATTCAGATAACAATAGTTTAGTTACAAAATACTCTTATTTTCAAATATCAGAATTGTTCATGATAAGTTATTTTTAACTTGTTAGCATTTCTAAATCTCCTTGTTCCGATTTTGTTTCAGGTTTTTAAAAATAAGCTATAAATACGCGATGAACTACGTGAATCCAGATTTGATAATATTTCTTGGTGATCTCATGGATGAAGGTAGCATGTGCAGTTCACAACAGTATTCCAACTACTTCTCCAGATTCAGAAACATTTTTCATCTCAATCACATTCCCAAAAATAAGGTAAACAAGAGTGTTCTTTAGATAATATTAGTAGCTTTTATTTTGCTTTTAAATGTGTGTCTTAAAAGTATACATTGTAAATATTAATGAAATGTTAGAATATTGTGTGTGAAACCTCTATTAGCTAACCGAAGTTATTAAGAGTACTATTTACAAAAGATTCAGGAAATTTTTTTAAATATTTACTTATGTTAATTGCAGTCTTGGCAATCCGAATTCGGACAAATATTTTTTTTACTTACTCTTATCTATATAATTAAAGGAAATATTGCAGATATGAAAATTTTAGAATCTGAGCTTCCAACAGAAATACACATAATTTATGAATTTAAGGTATTTTGCGTCCAAATAACCAATTTCCACAAAATGGCTTATATAATTTTATTGTAGATGTAAAATTTATTCACATTTTTCATTTTATTTTATGTTTAGCCATTTTAAGTAGTGCTAACAATGAGCTAGTTGTACTGTCTTCTTTCCTAGCTCAACTGGTATATATGGCTTTTTCAACTTGTGCCTTCCGCTTTTCTCTTCTCGACCCCTTGGCAATTGTTGACCTTCAACTGCTTTAAGCCTTGGAGTACAATATCTCTCCAGCAGCCCTTGGGTCTCTCTCTACTTCTCTTTCTATCTGCGTGCTGTTTCATAATAAAGTACAAACTAGTACTATTAGTCTTGTTGTAGCTTATACTTGGTACTTTTTCGTTTCATAAAGAAAAAGTAAAACAGTACAAAGTACAAGTTGTAAAATTGAAAGTACAAGCTAAATATTGCTGTTGTGTGAAAATTAAGATAAAATACAAACATACAAAGTACAAGGACTAATACTTTTTGTTTCATAATGGTAACTAGCTCGTTAATACTATTAGCCATAGATAGGAGTACAAATAAGCCTGTGGGAAGGTTCATTTTCAAAGCAGGTTACTTAGAGATTATAAGTTTCTTGTTGATATATTGTGCAATATCTTTCATTGAAGTGGCAGAGGCGACAACTTGAAATGAATATGTTTATCTACCACTGCAGTTATTCATGCCAATTAATGCATCATAAATATAGAAAAAATTGTTAAGTGCTTAGGATATAAAACAATAGATAGGGACACTATTTATTTAACTTCTTTACTACAAAGAAATGAAAGAAGAAATTATTTGATCATTCTAATTAAATATTCTTTAAATTAAAGTATTTTATTTTCATGTCCATTGAATTAATGACGGGACTTCTCAAGCATGAGCAACTTTAAACTTGACCTTTATGATACCCAAAGCTCGTTCTTTTGTCAACTGGGCTTCAATCCCATGTCATTACTTCTTCTGGCGATACTTTTTAGTTCATAGTGCAAAAGTGCCATGATTTTATAGAACAATTGGAATCTCCTAAAAAAAAAAAAAAAAAAGCTAGAAACCACAAAATAATTGTTTTTTTCATTCTAGAATAAATTATACTATTTTGAAGCACTCGTGATTCATGAACACTCGCAGGTGAATTTTACTCTCACATTGCTGTAGAGCCGGCAAAAAACTTACAGTTAATCAAATAGGTACAGTTTCGTTTTCCAATTTAGAGATCCAGCTTCATTTTCAACCGCAGCACCAGTACGATATCAGTGAAACATCTAATATTCCATGTGTAAAAAAAAAAAAATTATATTATAAAATAATATTAAATAGTGTTAATAATAATACAGGTTAGAGGTTGGAGACTAAACTTGTGGTACAGTGTCAAGCTTCACCAAGGTGTCAAGGTGTGCATGTTGAATAGACTTTCATGACAATATTATATTGTATATAGGAATGGACAAGTAAAATGTTCCGCCTCATGTCTCAGATATGTCAAATGTATTTGGTCAACGATAGCTGTCTAATGTTCTTCCGCTCTTCTACCCTGGGTCTTTCCAATTATATTCCAATTCAGTAAAAGTTGTGAGATAGCACTGACCACACTTTTTTTAATAGTAATTTTCAAACAAATTTCCGATATTAATCAGATCAATTCTTATTAATCTTTAATCTTTCTTGATTTATAGTTTTCTGTTACAATCATCCTGTATTCATTGTAAATATTAAAGTTTTAATTTATCTGTTATAGACTATATTTCTTCCTGGTGATAACGACATTGGTGGAGAAAATGAAGAAGTTACGCCATTGAAACTTCACCGTTATGAAAATTACTTTGGTCCATCTGTAGAAATAGTCTCTTACAAAAATATTAAGTTTTTTAAGGTATATTTTCTATTATAATGGCTAAACAGTTAGAATTGTGTAGATTGTCATTTAAAAAAAAAAAATTATTGGGATCAGTACTTGATAAGAAAATATCCTTATGTTACCAATAATTTATAAGAAGTTCATTGCGTTTACATATTTATATGTACCATATAAAAGTATATTATATAATATTATTATGATCTTGATTATTTATTTTTAGGTTAATAGTATGACCAGGATGTTTCCAGAATATAATGTGGAAAATGATACATCGATACGGATAGTCCTATCACATATACCGCTTCTCGGTGTCGACAGTTTTTTAGGGGAAGAGGTGATTCATCCTTATTCATATATTTACATTTAATTTATTCTTTTATTTTAAGGTATTATTTTATTTTATTTTTTTAAATTGTCTATTATTACTTTTTTCATGTTACAAAATCATGTGTTGTTACAGATTATTATGAAACTGAGACCTCATGCAATATTTTCAGCACACGATCATAAATTGATGCATTTCATGACAGAATATAATTCCCCTAAGAGAGAAATCATTCAGCATATTGATGTGTCCGATCAGAATGCCTTTAGGTTCACCTTTTCGGAAAAGACTAAAAGGGTCAATGAAATATCAATTCCTACAGTATCTTATAGAATGGGAACATTAATACACGGATACTCAGCTGTTGTCATCGGTAAGCTCTTGTTTCCTAACTTTAACATTTTGGATGAAATTTATAAAAATAAATAAAAAAAGGCCACGAAATGTCTTGTGAGAAGACGTCTGATTTATGATGTTACTGTACTCCTTGAAATGATATAATTGGTATGCCTACCTACCGACTCAGCTTTCAATTGTTATTTCTCTGGATAAACTCGATATTGTCAAATATATTATATGTCATTATCACATATATTATGTATTTTTGTCAAGAACCAATTATTTTGGGCCCAGAAAGGTCCATGGGCATATCACAGTATGATTCCTATCCTTCAAAAATCTATTACTTTTTGTCAAAAGTTTAGTATTTATGTAAATTTAGTTTTGAAACCCAGGATATGAAACGATTTTGTCGAGCTATAGAAGCCAGCACTCCACCCACTGTACTCAAAGTATTTTAAAAATTTGCTCCGAATCCATAAATATTACATTTTGGAGCTATCAAATTTTTGAAAACCATATTATCAAATTTTAGAGTGTGATGAATCACGTCTTGGACTATTAATGGCCCACCCCACTTGGCAAGATGTGGGATATTTTAAAATAAATAAATTAGCCATTGTGAAAATATTATTATTACTGGAGTGAAGTATAGAAATATAAACATCAGATTCATTTTTATAACTATGAAAAATTTCCTTTGGGTGAATCTAAAAGTAAACATCTATTGGTAAAAGAATCTATTAGGCTAGTTTACTTAATAATTTTATTAAATATTCATTTGACTAACAAGTTGTTATTCTTTAATATTTTTATATTACCTTTAATAAGCTTTAAAAAATAAATATTTTAGTGGGAGAACCATTTACACTTAATTTATAGTTGCTGTGCTGCATTTACTAATTATTTTAATTGTTGGCAATGCATTGAGCTCTCAGTATAATAAATTGGGTTTTTCATTTATATTTAAAATTATATGTTACTATTTCTTTTTCAGATAAAAAACAGGAGATCATGTGCTATTTTTTCTTCAGATCGCCACGTAGGCTTCTCTTCCTAAACTTTTATCTCATTCTACTCATTTGCTGTGCTGTTATCGTAACTAGCTACTATTGCATAAGAAAACGACGCAAGATTGTTTGATGGTTGTGTTACTTATACAGGACTGTTACGTAGTATTGTTTTGTTAATTTGAAAAAGGAAGCGTTGAAGACTGAAGCCTCATGATCAACTTGTTGTTTTAACATTTGTATATATTTGATGAAATGTTATTTACGTCAGAATGTTGAGACTTAATATTCATGTCTTTTGCCAAGTTTATTGACAAATTTATTTTTGCATATTGTGATATTGTTGTTAGTTCAAAGCAAATATATTATAATAAATTGTTATTTTTATTTTTTACTGCATACTATTCTTTAAAGCCGAGGTCATACTTTGCTCCAATGTGACAATTAGCATAGCCAACTATAATGGCATCAAATTTGTCTATAAGACCAAGCCTATTTCCATCCCAATAAGTCTTCATGCAACCTTGTAAATAACTTACCACTGAAAAAAAAAAAAATTGCACAATCCATGATTCCATCATTACAGGCTTAATGATAAGTACAATGAATTTATTGACCTTTTTAAATTCAATTGTGAAGGATTGTGTATTATTTTTTTTGTCATCTATTTATAAATTTTGATTAATCTATTTGCAAATTTAGGTAGATTATGAAATATTAGAATGGAAGATTTAAGGTCATGCCCACCCGCCCATTCCTGACCTCTGAGTGATGAAATTAATAAACGAACCAAACTACTCTTTTTTATGGTGGAGCATACCAATACAAGAAATTCATTTAGTTTTTTATAACATTATCTTCTACCTTAATATAAAAAAAATTTATGATTGATAAGATTGTAGAATCTTATTTTATCTGAAGTCCATATTCTCGTAAGAAAACTGTTTTCTTTTTTAAATAAGTATTCAAATTAAAGAAATTATAATTCAGAAGCCAAGAGTATTATTTTTACTACTAATTTTTACTCTTTACCAGTTATTTGTTTAAGGCCGAAGTAAAATTTGGGCCAGCTTAAAGAAGGCATCAATTGCTTACTACTTACAATTATTGACTACCTGGTTGGGTAGAGCTGCTACCTTTTGATGTAGTGTAATTATCTAATTTCCAAATGGTGCCTTGGACTATTTTCTAATGTTAGCATCAATACAAAAAAAAAGTATAACTTAAATACTATGGCCTTAAAATAAATGTAAACTTATTGTTTTACATATTTAATGATTCTACTTTTTTAATCTATAAATTAAACTACGTTATGTAGGTTTCACTTACCTTTATGATAATTTTGCAAAAGTGGGATTGTTATGTATTATATATCGTCAGTTCATTGCAGATTCATTAAGTGACATTTCATAAACTTAAATCTTAAAGAATTTTCTATTAAATCAGAAAATTGTGCACTTATGTTTTTTATGAGTCAATAAATCTGAATTTAAAAAATAGTTCTTGAAAGTTCAGCTCCATCAAAAATATACTTAGTGACTTTTTGTAATAAACCAACAATATGTAACCCATATGTTTTGACGACTTACATATTTTAGGTTTTTTATTTTAATAAATAAAAATCCAGTCTTTAGTTATATGTTTATATGAGAACTGTAATATCATTTAATTATAATTTCTTGTATCTATTATTCAACATTTTTATGCCATGTCTGATGAAGATTAAGTTTGTTTAATTTTATTACAAAAACATATGTTCTTAATTGCTATTTCATGTTAATATTATTTTTTTCATTATAATTCTTTTAATCGATTGCATAAAGTTTGATAACACTATCTTATTTCATTATCATTCTTATTAGCTTGTTTTTTATTTATTCATTCACTTAATATTATATAAATTTTTTTATTTTATTTTTTTAATATTTAATTTATAGTAGAATTAGTGGTTACTTTGTTGTAGCACAATTGTATAATTAGTTAGTATATAATCCTATGTGTCATCTATTATACTATTCAAAAATATTCATTCATACAAAATTTAAGTATTTAAAATTAAGTCTGTTGCATATACCTGAGTAAGGAAGTTATATTGACAGCCTTTACCTTATAAAGACTTTACCTGTTGGAGAGCTGTAGTCCTCAAGGATTTTCTTCTCCCACTCCTCTGCTAGTGATTGTCAAGACAAGAGGAGGCACTTCAGTCTGTGTTTGTCTCCAGTTGAGTTTGCTTTCCACCATGAGTGATATCTGAGACCCTTTCCAGCGATGGGGACAAATCCTTGTCTTCTCTTAGTGACAGTAGCGCTTTTAGTTTATTGTGGTGTTCAATCTCTTAAGGTCCAGAGAGTCGAGAAGAGGAGGTGCCTAAGAGATGGTTATAATGACACCATTTACGATTATTCTTTGAGAGATTTGAAAAGTAATACGACTGTCCCTCTATCGATGTACCGAGGAAAGGTATGGTAGTATTTAATGTTATTTCTACGATTTTATTTTTATTTTTTAAAGTCCGTCTTGTTTAAATTGGTAATTATCAAAATATTTTTGTGTAAATTATTTTTATATTTCATGACAATGTCTTTAACGACAATAAAAAGTCCAATAGTTTTTCTTTTACTCACTTTGAATGTAAGAACCACATATTTTCAATAGAAACTTTTTGAATTAGGTTTCTGTGAAATAAATTTAGTCCTGGTTTTGCAGTCCATTTATTCCCCCCACCAAAATTTAAAATAATAATTGAACCTAAATTTCAGTGTTTTTTGTTTTTCATTGTTTCTACTACATTATTTACAATCTATTTAAAGTTTTAGTGTGATTTGACAGATGTAACCTTTTTTTCTATCCAGTGCATGTGCAGAGTTTTTCTAAATTTACCTATGAAATTTTCATATCTTTGAACTGATTGAAGCCATTTTTTTTTTCAATTGACTGTGAAGATTAGAAATAAATTTGGTTTATAGGAATTTTGGCATTCTTTTGAATTATTGGTTCTTATTTGTAAAAGTAGTAAAAAAATGAACAAATCCAAAATGTTAATAACTCATTCCACAAATTACATTTTCTTTTTTTGTTTTTTGTCACTTGCTTTGCACTAAGTTTATTGTTTATTAACTCTCCATTTTTAGTATCTGGTCATTTGATTACATGGATTTATTATTCCTAAAGATGAGATCAAATAAAACAGAAAAGCATATATAATTGAAATTAATAATCATATATAATTCTCTTAAAGATATTGCCACATGTTCTCCATCTTTCCAGTCCTCTCAAAACCCTCTCGGTTTAAATACTTCTTTGTTGCCCTGTTTTAGATCTTTCTGCTGGGTTTTAATCAAAATATTTTTCAGCCATAACTGATGTGACATGCTTTGTAAGTAACCACACAATCTGAACATTGTCTCTGTTGTTCATCGATGGCCCTTTTGGATGTACTCCAATTCCTTTTTCTTGATTAGAAACATTTCACTTTTAATTATTGTTCTAATGAATGCTTATCTTATTCCATAGGTTGTTTTACTAGTTAACGTAGCGACTTTCTGAGGTTTCACCCCACACTACATTGGTCTGAGTGCACTACAGGCCAAATACGGAGACAGCTTGGCTATACTTGGTATCCCATGCAACCAATTTGGACTTGTAAGTATATATATATATATATATTTATTTATTTTACTAATCTAAAATACAATCATAAATTATATATATATATTTTACTAATCTAAAACACAATCATAAATTATATATGTATATTTTACTAATCTAAAACACAATATAATACACACATATATAAAAGGGGAAAAATAATCGTAATTAAATTACTATTAGAACAGACAAAAAAACGACTTTATTATTGGACTAGCTTCCTTAAGAACAAGAGATAAACATGAAAAATTACTAACCAAAAACTACATTAATAAAATTCAATTATAATATATATTCTCAATAGTAAGAGTGTATAAACAGCAATAAAGAAAATTGCCTCAAGAATTAATTGAAGAAGATTATCTTCAAAAAGATAAAATCAGTAGAAAAGAGTGAGAGGAGAGAGGGGGAAACGAAAATTAGTCTATAAATGTGTATTTACTGATTAATATTAAAAAGGTCAAATTTTTAACAATATAGTTTAAATTAAATTTTAATTTTAATGATAAAAAAATGTACTCATTTTTATTTAGTTGCAATAAATAATGACATGTCATTGTACTGTGGTCAATTTTTTCTTTATTAAAATTCATTGAAACATATATTGTTATTGAAATATTTTAAAAGGGGTTCTTTTTTTAATTTTAGTTTTATTTTGATACATCAGTTGCGTTATTTTAGGAAATTACTACCTAATGAAAAATTCTCTCAATATTAGCATCCAAAGTAAAATTTATGAATTAACAATATTTACAACAAACTATCTGAAACTTGAGTCATTTGTAGCAGACATTAGCCAAGCACTTAGTTGTCGTACTATTTCATGATGCTTCATAGTCATAGAAACTAAAAACTTTTCCAACCAACTACGTGCTTCTTTCCTTTCTGGAACAAAAATACATCACCAGTACATTTGTTAAAAAATATGGATTTAAGTCTCGAGAATTAGGTTGATTATACTATACCAAAACAGTAAGTGTATATAATCTCATTGCATTAATAAAAATATGCTCTTTGGCATCTATGCTTTAACCTTATTCTCTTCCTAAGTGTTTTTGATGTATTTATTTTTCATAAAATAGTCCTCATTTTAAAAACTGGTAATTAAATGGTAACAGATTTGAAAAAAACAAAAACAATTTTTAGCCTTAAAGCTTTTGTTTGTTTAATCTTAAAATGGGTAATTGTCATGAGTCGTAAGATAGGTCAGTGATAAATATTAGGGGTAAAAAAAATCTGGAGTAGTGAAAAACAATTAAAAATTCTAATATTATAAGGTCCGCTTGAAAATCGCTATTTTATTAATCTATTAATTATGGAACCTTTATGAGAATGTTATTTTTTTAATTTATACATTGTAATATTTTAGCAAGAACCAGGGAGCAATGCTACTGAAATTTACAATGGACTTAGGTTCGTAAGGCCTGGAAATGGATTTATTCCAAACTTCCGGCTTTTCCAAAAAATGGATGTTAACGGAGAAAA